ACATGATAGGAAACGTACTGCGAATTTAAATGAATTGTTGAATAATTAGCCATGGCAACGAAAAAACTAATTTAATAATTGGTAAATATTACATAAATACATATTACAATTGCAACATAGCTAACATTTAGGCAAAAACAAAAGAAACAAATTTTTTCTACGAACGAAATTAAATTTTTTTTAAAAAAGAAACACAGTCGGATATACTTAAAACTAGCTTTACAATAAGTGTTCAAATAAATTCCCGTTTTGTTGGATACAGAGTGTCGCTCGACGAACTAATGATTGCGTAGCCCGAAAAGTGGAAAACCTGTTTCTTCTTATTTCATTTGCAGCCTGATGGATTCTTTGAAGTAAATCTTCTTGAGTATTTACTTCAGTCGAGTAAAATAGCTCTTTTAATGACCTCCAAAAATAGAAATCCAATGGATTTAGGTCAGGTGAACGTGGCGGCCACTCTATAGGACCTCCTCGGCCTAACCACCTGTCTGGAAAATTGACATTCAACCAATTTCGAACATTGCGTCCAAAATGTGCAGGGGCGCCATGTAGAAAAACATGTTGTCTTGAAACTGCTAACGCACATCCAACGGTATTATATCCATGAGCTCATTCTGAAGAAAGTTCAGATACACCTCTGAATTAATACGATTGGGAAGTATAATAGGCCCAATCACTTGATCCCCAATTACTCCTACCCATAAGTTCAATGAAAATCTATGTTGAAAATTTATACTGCGAACAACTTTTGGTTTTCATCTGACCAGTGATGCATGTTATGGAAATTAAAAGCACCATTCCCAGTAAATATTGACTCATCCGACCATAATTTTCTAGGAATAGTGTTTTCATTTGCTAATATCCACTGGCAAAACTCGATTCGTGGTAAAAAATTTGCCTCCATTAAATGCTGCACCCGTTTAAAATCATAAGGATGTAATCCTTGCATTCTTATCATTCTTCCTATATAAAATTATTATTTTTAGGATAACTATCAAATATGTATTCATAAATTTTTCTTACTATTGATCGAGGTATATCCATAATTTCTGAAACATTTCGTATGCTTATTTGTGGATTATTTTCAAACATATTTAAAGCAATATCCATACGATGATTTCCCAGTGGCCTTCCTTGCAAAACCCATACACAAAATGCATGTCAGTTAGTTCTCTGTCTGTAAATCTTAGCATTTTAAATCGATTTAATAAAAATTTTGATTTTAATCTAGTAACTTTACACTACTGACAATGTCAGCTTAACGTCAAAATAAGTCAGTCATAACAAATCAAAACAACTTTTGTTTGCAGTCATGGCTAACTATGTATAATCAACAATTCATTTAAATTCGCAGTACATTTCCTATCATGTGACAAATTTTTTAGTTTGATATTATTCATAAATGGCACAATAAGAGTACCTTTTTTATGTAGAAAACCCTAAATTTTCAAATTCTAAAATTGAATTTCATAAATAGAATCACACAAAAATGTTGGGGCTAAAATAACTTGAGTCCGTCACTGTTACATACGCTACCAAACAAAACTGTCTAAAATTGTTAATATTTTTAAATCCAGCATAAAAAACTAGGCTAGAATACCAAATTTTATGTCTTTATCTCAACACGTTGCGGCAATATTAAGGAAAAACCATCTTCAAGGGAGCCCCTTTAAAAGTTCATAGCGCCCTTAGGGAACGTTTGTCGACCTAGGTTTGTATAAACTGTTCTTCCTATTTTAAGCTCTAGAAACCGCTGGTAGAATATTGCACACTTTTTTTGGGACACCCTGTATATGTTCTATCAATCTAAATGCACGCATTCCCATCTATCGCATCCGGTACCATGAAGTCATCGAAAAAGTGGACGAAAAAGGTGATGTAGCTCGGAATGGGGTTCATGCCTCTACGGGTTGTGTGCCTTTTATTATAAGATGTTCGGTATGCGGAAACTATGGAGGATCTGTAGATACTAAAAGTGGATTAATCAGTAAGACAGGCTGTCGAACACGACTTAGCTATGCTGATGCGATGCAATGTTTAGATGATTGTTTGTGGTTTTCAACCGACATACGACATTTCACAAATAATTTCATGAGCTGGGCCGTACGATTCTGATTTGAATGTAGTCGAAAATGCGTACAAAAAGTTTCATCAAGGAAGCTGCTTAAGCTCTTGATGCCAAGCGTTCTTTAGACAACGTCAATGGTCCGCCATAGTAGGGACTCCACTCTGAGCTATCTATTGTGGCTTTTATTCACAAGATAAACACGTTGTTAAATGTCCACAGATTTTGATGCATTTAGGCGATGCATGATATGACAGTCTTTTGTTTGTTGTACTGTCTGAATCATAATTAAAACCATATGAACTGAAAGTGAAATTTTACCAGCGTTTTGATTGCTCCTGGAGTACACGAACGACTACATGACAAAGAAGTATAAAATTTGTTTCAAATAATGGCTATACACGTCTATTCGTGGAAGTTGCTTCCTTCATAACTATCTCAAATTATTATTAATTATTACTTCCAAGTACGTTATAACTCATTAGAATTTTGCTATCTCCATGTAGTTCATATTGTGCTTCACGTAATGGATTTTCAAAATGCTAAAATGAATTTGCAAAGCGATGTCTATCAACTGAATGAATTAACTGTTCATTAAATTCTTCTTCCTTTTCAAAAAGTTTGATACTTCACCCTTTGTGCCCTGTGACAATTCCATTTTTTATTATTGGTGGTGCCGAACAAAATTGCTCCGAAGTGAGGAAAATCAAACTCTCTTCTAGAACTGTGGAAACTACCAGAAGTATTGATCTTCCCGATTTTCAACTCCTAGTTTATTCGTCACGTAAAAAGAGTGCTTTATCGGCGCGGAACTAGCGCCACCATAATTGATTTCAAACTTTGGTGAAAAGCCACACATCTCTTCTATCGGGAAGTGTTGAACTTCTTCTATACTACAACTATTTAAAACTGTAATGACTCATACGCGTGATCAACACGTGATTAGAGCTCAATCCCGGCTTCCTTCCAGTACAGCCGTATAGCGTACGACATATGTCGTTTCGGTGGCTTTGCGGTGGTCAACAGCACAGACAGAGATGGAAATAATGGCTGATTGTTCTCCGCCGGTAAAACCAATGAAATCAAAGACGCGCCTCGACCGGCAGACTCATAGGCGTCGGCAACGCATTGGAACATGTTTCGTTGAGCGATCGCATATTGTGTGTTTTTATAAGAATTGTTGTGTGATTATTATTGTTGTGGTTTCTGTGGTTACTGTTTTGGTTATACTTAACCATGGAGAGTACAAATGGCACGAGTGGAAGTACTGAAAGCCAGGGAACAAGTAGGCGGCTTCGTAAAGCACTGAAGAGGGACGCGAAAGAAATCGTGCTTAACGTGTTCAATTATCTGAACAGAACTATGTCGCAGGGAGATGCACTCGCGCGTTGTGAAAGTATGACAGGCGTTCCAGAGTGGACCATTCGCAGGGTGGTGCATGAAAAGAAGAAAACTGGAGCTACTACTGATCCAAAGTTTAATTTGAAGGGACGAAAGGCCGTTAAATTGGATGACGATAGCAAAATGGCGTTAAGGCGAACCGTACATTCATTCTTCTTTAGGAATGAGATACCAACCCTCAAGGCTGTACATGCAGCGATCAAGGAAAATGAAATTATACCCCAAATGAGCGTCGAGGTAATGAGAAATTAATTTTCATTACGAAACGCGTAATCGGAAGTCAGTATTGATAGAGAGACCTGAAATAGTCGCCTGGCGTCGAAAATACCTACGCGAAATGATTGAATATAGGCGACAAAGCAGAAAAATCTATTATTTGGACGAGACATGGGTAAATGCAGGTCACACAGTTAAAAAAACCTGGATAGACAAAAACGTAGTGAGTAACCGACAAGCAAGCATTGAAGGTTTGTCAACAGGTCTTCGTGGACCGTCAGGGAAAGGTCAAAGATTGATCGTAACTCATATTGGTAGCGATAGTGGCTTTTTAGAAGAGTGTGACTTGATTTTCGTCTCTAAGAAAGGAGGTGATTACCATGACGAAATGAATGCCAGCTGCTTCGAGAGCAGGTTTCAAGGGGTGCTTCAGCGAGTTGAGCCCAACTCTGTGATCGTCATGGATAATGCTTCCTACCATAGTCGTCGGGCTGAACGTGTACCGACTATGCGATCTCGAAAAAGTGACATGCAGCAATGGTTGCGCGAAAAAGGAATCCCGTTTGACGATTCATGTGTGAAAGCGGAATCGTATGAAAAAATTAAACAGCACAAACCTGCGAATATTAGTTACGTGACTGATGAGATGGCCCGTCAATGTGGTGTCACTATGCTACGGTTACCGTCCTACCACTGTGAACTGAACCCAATAGAGCTCATCTGGGCTCAAGTGAAGAGTTATATTGCGCGCCATAACACAACCTTCAAATTACCAGACGTTAAGGTTTTACTTGAGACTTCCATACAGCTAGTAACGCCCGAAGCTTGGCAGAATGCTATCCGTCATGTTGTGAAGGAAGAAACAAAAATGTGGCAGCTGGACCACCACATCGACACCATCATAGAGCCAGTTATAGTCAATTTCAGCGAGGAAAGCGATAGCGACAGTTTATTACTGTCAGATATAAGTGGAAGCGACGATGATTAAAGGTAATTCCCTAATTTTTGACTTACAATATGTTTCAACACTCTTTATTAAGCATGTGTCAAATCTAGTTCACCCTAGTTAAACATTCATACCCCGCCTATGAACAGCCGACTACTGGTAGTTAAGTGATGTTCACGTGAACATCGATGACTCATTATAGTTTTAGATAGTTATAGTATAGATGCAGTATGCAACGGCACGGTGGAACTGACAATTATCTTTATTTATTATGTATGTCGCTTTTAATGTAAACGTATTTTTCACATATATACACTGCCCTGCAAAAGTTTGGACACACTTGGAAAAATCTTTTTTTTTTGTTTTTCTCAGAGAATTTTGTGTAACGAATTTATATATAACAGCATTTGATTAATGACTTTTAAGCATTTTGTTTCAATTTTCATTTCTTTATTGTATCAAGACTTCCATCTCTTTTGCTGCTTCAAAATTGTGTCCATAGTCTTGAAAATAGCAAGAGCAAAGCAATTATCGGAAGAAAAACGTGCCCAGATAGTAATTTTGAGTGAAACCGGGCATTTGCAGTGACAAATTCGACAGAAATGTGTCACAGAAGGGAGTCCTGACAACATTGGAGAGATTCGATGAAACCAAATCGTTTCGTTTCGCTGAGGCCGACCCAGAAAGACTACAAAAAGCTTATACAAGTGTTAAGTAAGAGGTCTAGACTTAAAACAGTTTCAGATATTACTGGTGAGATCAATCAAATGCTACCAAAGCCGATCTCCGAAACAGCGGTCACATATCGGCTGCATGATGTCTGTTTGTATGGATATGTCGCTGACAAAAAAGCATTGCTGCGATCAGTAAATGTTTGTAACCTGCTTAAATGGGCAAAAAGACACAAAAATCCAAGAATGGAAACAGGTGTTATGGACCGAGGAGTCCAAATTTGAAATTTTCGGTAGCAAACGGCGAACGTACGGCCGCAGACAATCTGATGAACGACATGCACCTCAATGTGTAATGCCAACAGTAAAGTTTGGTGGTGGCAGCGTGATGATGTTTCTGCTACGCTGGTGTCGGCGCCTTGGTGGAAATCGATGGGAAAATGCGGAAAGAAGACCATCACCGGATACTTCAGCGGAGCGCTATTCCATCTGACATGGACTTGATATGGGAAGGGTTTGTGTTTCAGCAAGAAAACGACACTAAACATATAACAAAACGTTGTCTGCATTACTTAAAATCAAAAGAAGCTGCATGCATTCTTGAATTAATGGAATGGCCACCACAATCGCCGGGCGCAAATCCTATCGAACTGTTATCGGATGAGCTGGTGTGAAAACTGTGTCCAATAAGCGAATCTCACTTGTGACAATGGCAACGTTTGCGACCAGAAATACTGCAGAAATTGGTGGAGAGGATGCCCAGAATTTGTAGGGCAATTATCAAATCGAAAGACCAACATGTTGACGAAAAACGGCTGGATTGATTTTTTCATTTATTCGCACAAAAAACTCAAAAATATCACAAGTAAATGGTTAAAACTCGTTTACAAGTCATAATTTCAAATAAACAACGTTTTATAAAATGCTCTGAAACAGATAATTAAAGATATAGATAAGAAAAAAAGATTTTTCTAAGTGAGTCTAAGCTTTTACAGGGCAGTGTATGTGTATTTTTGATGACGGCATGGATCTGGCGACATTTGATATATAAAAGTCATGGCATTGTTGCGATAAAGTATTATTATTTTATTTGTATTCGTAAGTGCTAATTTGACACAGACATTCCTTCTAAGAGCATAAACACTGTAACTGTTTGTAGGTACAAGTCCACATAGTCGAGTAATTATACCGAAATAATGTATGTGTACCTACGATTAGCGCACGAGTTAGTTACTGCCTGCAACCCGCAATTCAACCAAGTATGTCTCAGTTCCATTAGCAAACTTGCGAAACTAAGTTTAAGCTCGTGTTGGATATAATTTGCATGGTAGGTATTTAGTTGAAATTTCAGGTCGAGCAAATTTACTCCGTGAAAGCTGAAGACATTGATAGAGTATTGATCGAAATTGTTTTAATCGAAAAACTAATACTAGGTGGTGATATATATTCACTGGGATACATTTGCTGATGTAACGGGTGATTTTTTCAAGAGCTTTCTTTTCAAAAGTTAAATAAAGCAGCTAAAAGTGCATTATGTATACAAAATCTTTATGGGAGCCGATAAACTGGTTCTTGCTATTTATTTTTTAAAGATTACTTCATACAAATGTTGACCACGGCTACGTTTCAAATAGTCCATACGGAAGATCCAATTTTTCACTACTCTTTCCAATAGTGTTGGGCTTGTCCATATACACCAACGACTTCACGTAGCCCCATAAAAAATAATCCAGAGGCGTCAAGTCGCTTGATGTTGGTGGCCAATTTACAGGGCAAAAACGAGAGATAAATTGCTCGCCAAATTCATTCCCTAAAATCTCCATTTTTTCTTGTGCTGTGTGGCTTGTGGCGCCGTCTTGTTGAAACCACTAGTCAACCAAGCTCAGATCTGCCTATTTGGGCAATAAAAAGTTACGGATCATTGACCGATATTATTCGCCGTTGACGGTAACGTTTCGTCTGAAGTCGTCAGTAAAGAAACTCGGTCTGATAATTCCACCAACCCATAAACCACACCAAACTGTTGTTTTTTTTTTCTGGATGCATGGGCAATTCTTGTATAGCATGTGGCTGCTCATCACACCAGATGCGGCAACTGTGCTTGTTAACATGTCCGTCTAGCCAAAAGTGAGCCTCATCGCTGAACACAATTTTTCGATAAAACAGCGGATCTTCTGTAAGCTATTGCAAGGGCTATACAGTAAAAATTGTTGTGGTAGGTCATTTAGCTTCAAATGTTACACAAGTTGAATTTTGTAAGCCTTCACCCAAATCGACACGTAAACTTTTTCAGCTTGTGGAGTAACACATTCTCAAATGTTGAGATCTACGGCGAATGGACATTTTACGATCTCCATTAACACTGTTTGCTACGGAGGCAATATTCTCTTCAGTGTTGTATGTTCTGGTTTCACTAGGTGATTATGACGACCGTAAAATGACGGGTGCGAATTTTGGTAATGAATTTCTAGGATTTGCATTCGCTATTCATTTGTAAGCCTTTCCAAGATGAAATAGCATAGTATACTGAACAATTTTCACTTTTACAGATGAAGATTGGACGCCCTCAGTGCTGCCATCTTGAAAAAAAAAAGATCCTAAAAAATCACCTATTAAGACACCTACCCTAGACAAAGTATCTGGAATACAAAAAAGATACTTTTAAAATAAGTATTTCAGATACGAGATACAAAATGCTTTCTGGAGTGGTATCTGAGATATTACATATGAAATACGTATTTTTCAAATGCATTTTGGAGATAAAGTAGTTTTTTAAGGAAACTACATTTTATTAAGTTTATCTCACTACGAGTTATTGAATCAAGTACAAAATACAAAAATAATTTTAGAAAAGTGTCTTGGATATCAAATGAAAATCTCGTATCTGTATTTCAGATACTTCTGTCTTGAATAAGTCACATCTCTTCATTCAATATGATGCTCCACATGTTAATTCAGCAGTGACTTAATCTGTTCTATTTTCACAAAAATCACATATTTCCTATACTGTAGTTTTATGTCTAGCTGAGGATGCAAAACGTCGGCCAAAGTCTAGAAATGTTTGTTAAAAATATACGGTAATAGTTATTAGCCAGGGTGATTCTTCAGTTGTTTATAATAAGTGAGTATATGATATACTCGCGGTTTTTATTAAAAATCATAAAACCCGGTTGTGAATGCTGTGGGATAAGCTTATCAGCTTATGTTTTGAAAAGCTATAAACACTATGGTGGTGTGTTGACACATAAGAATTACGGTTTGATTTGAGAGAAATCGTGCATTGATCGATTTTTTTTTCGTATCGATAAAAACAATAAATTGAACATAAAAGGTGTATAACCCGACTTTTTAGACATTAATTAATTTTGGTGAATGTACTATACCTCCTTTATAAGAAGAATAAATGGTGGAAGTGGTACTAGAAATTCGTGAATAGTGCGTTTTAGTAAGAAGCAGGTAATTCCGACAGACGATTCACTTATTTTCAACAAAACAATTTTGTTCTACTGCCTCAAACCATGAGCTTTCCAATCGAACTAGTGCTATAGTATGAATTCACTCATGGGGTGTCGGGATTGGGAATCAATTAGTTGCATCCGAACCGTATCATTGTCTACCTAAAAGCTTGTCTTTGCTACTTTTACGATACTGGGTATCTTCTCATTCTGGCTATATTTATTCCGGACTTCTAATATAGGATATAGGTACATATAGTACAGTGCTTTTTAAAAACGTCCCCTCTCGTTTATCTTTTGAAGGGCTGAAGATCGCAAACTGAAATTTGGGTTGATGAAATTGTGCAAATTTTCTGTACTTTAACTTAAAAGCATCAGCTAAAACATACATTTATCCGAATGGCGAACTGGTGGGTCATCAAACTTGAGAGTTATACATTGAATAATAACTCAAAATTCAATGATCAATCTTCTCTTAGCAGTATATAGTACGTCAATTCCTTTTAAACAGAATATCCCCTGTTCAAAAGACAAGTTTGTACCATACAGCTTTAAAGTACTGATCAGAAAGTTCAAAATAAGGCATCAGTTGGCACCCCATTCTACTCTCACGTGTACGTCAAAAGTAATTTTGCAAGAAACAATTTTATCACCACAGATTTCAGGTTGCCTTTACAAAAAATAAGTAGAATAAATCTTTTCAAAGAGTATAATAGAAGTGCCAAGCTATAAAAGAGAATAAAAGCGAGGAACGTTGATATCGTCAAGTATTAGTACTAAATATTTATTGACACGTAACAATCACCTTGCTTTGCATGTGTGATGAAATCATCACAGTCACTAGGCTCAAAGTGAACTCTGCATCTCTGGCACCCGTTTTACACTGACAATGAATCCATATTTTTTGACATGAATTAAGTTAATAGCCGAATTTCAAATGTGTAAAAGAGGAAATGAATTAATGAACTTCTTCGTAGATTTCATGATGCCAATTTTGTCCTTCTTTCCATCATTTTGAAAATCGTTTCAATTCAAGCATAAAACTACAGAATTCAACAATATGGCTTTTTTCGAAATTCTCCTCAAAATCAAAAGCACAATAATTAATAAGAAATAAAATTGTTTCTTCCAAGAAACTCGTGAGTGGTGAGCACTGTTGGCAGCACTGTGTACTATCAGATAATCGATGAATTTGTTCATACTGCAATATATAATCAGTATGACCTTGAAGAAATCGATCTGGATAAGTTCGAGGACAAATTGTTGGTGTAAAACGGGCGTTAGAAAACGACTATTTTACTGAATGGATCCGCAGCTAATGCTCGCTCCTTATACCTTAACTGAGGATCGTTAGTGAAGATTTCTTTCTAAAGGTGCCTACAGATAGAGCGATCATAACGCATTCGTTGAATCTGGACGTATGGCCGAATCATTGGGCAGCAGTTAAAAGCGTTTACCTTATCTTAGTCAGCAGGCATTATGCGTCTAGTCCGGCTTGAGGCTACCGTCTGTATCACCTAGTACACGCAAAAAATGGTGCTGTTGTTTAAAAAATAACTGTCTTGATTTGAGGACCTTGATATATTCTTAAGACACACTTCGGCCTAGAAAAGAATCCTGCGAGATTACTTCGAGCCTTGTATCACAAAGATGGGAGGCTCTTTATAGTTTAGTGTGGGAACCAGGATCAGTGGGATAGCTTGTTGGTCAATATCATAATTCCAGTTCTTGAACCGAGCGTCCTTTTTTGGAGTGTATAACTTTTTGCTATGTATCTCACCCTTAAGCGTTCGTACAGTTCACACACAACGCTCGCTTACTCTGCAGGCACCTTCAAAGTCAAGTCCACGCTGGTACCTATCTCACAATTAAGAACTTAACAAGGAGTATCACAATTTAGAACTGCAGAATCTGATTGATCCAGTCCCTAAACTCGCTGATCCTGGTATACACCCCCGGTTGGTTAGGCTCTGCGCATCCTATCCCCCAGGATATGACTCCGGCAAGCAGGAACCGCCTGTCTTCTCTCTGGATAACCATCGGTCCTCCCGAGTCGCCTTCGCAGGAGTCGAACCCGCCTCTTCGCCAACCCGCGCAGATGAAGATGTGAGGGATGTGCTCGATGTAGCCTGCCGAGCGGTACATCTGCTCGCAGACGCTGTTGTTTATCACTGGCACTGACACTTTCTGGAGGATGCTCGGCAGCGGGCCATCTAACAAAAAAAAAATAAATTGATGTAGCAAACATTTTCTTCATCATAGTAATAACCATAGTCGTCCTTAACAGAATTACAAAATTATAGTGAACTGATTGGTGAAGTTTAGCATTTGGTGCAGATCCACAGTGAGGTTTTTTCATTATATTTTTGCTTCGTGTAATAAAAATCTCATGATAGGCATTATTCCATTGTAGACACATTCTTTATAATCTCGAGAAACAATGAGAGTTTACATGTATATGTTTCAACGTGTAAACATGATATATAGCAAATTTCATATGCGACATTTATTTCACTTCATGCAGATGAGTTACTTTGCTTTATCGTGAGATGAATTTTCTGTCTACGGAAATGAGAGTTTTGGAAAGAAAAATATTCTAGTTTCACTTGGACTACAGCCATGTTAGAGTTAATAGGGATGTATGAATCTTACCCCAATTTATGGGGTTGCTCCTCAGAAAGCTATAGAAATAGAAATGCGAGAAAATTAACCACAGCGAAAACCGCTCAACTGCTGGAAATGCATTTAGCATATTTGTGTCTGGTTTTTATATTTAGTTTGTCCAGCAAATACCGAAAATCAGCAGCTGACACTCGAAGAAAGTCCTTATGCAGGTGCGGATCGAGGGGGGGGCATGAGGGTCATTACCCCCCCCCCAGGCGAATTTAGTTCCACCACCAATTTTTCTAAATCTCTTCGATAAATCTGTAATGCACACATATTAAATTTATGCCGTACTGGTATGTTCTACCAAACACTGGCAGCACTGCATCCGTCGACTTTGATTTAACTGTAAGCTCATAGATGATAGCGCAAGACTGGTTGCCTATGCGGTCAGCTCGATGTAGGAGAAACTTCTTCACATGCACTTAAGCTGTGAGCAAATGTAATAAAAAATACTTTCTGACCGACCAGCGGCGGATTTAAGGAAAAGGGCCCGGTCGGCAATATGCACTGGGGGGGCCCAGTGGTATGATCGGGGACAGACGGCAAATAGTGCGCACTATAACTGTTTTGCGAACATAAATTACTGCAATTATTAACAAGTAAAACACGGCAATGGAAACTTTGAAAGTTGCATGATAACTCAGAAATTAATATCAAAATCTAATGCGTAATGTCATATTAGTGCAATCGTACATCAGCCTGGTTTTTTTATTTAATAGTGTGCACGGGCACGGGATAGGTTGTAATGCGCATCGTAATTTTTTTAAGGAAATTAAACTTGATAATTCACCAGCAAACTTCTTGTGCATAATAGAGTTTAAAAGTTATCACGGATGCTACCGATAAGTAAAGGGCGTCGAGTCAAATTTGGAAGGAACGCTATTTATAGGATTTGCATAAAATTATAAGGAAGAACAAAAACAAATATGATCGATAGTTTTGTCATGTTTGCCGTGATTAATATTTCATTGAATACAAACTTGGTGAACAACACTAAAATACGTTAAATAACGTGCATTACTACAGGATATATACCGGGCACTATTTGCGAAAGTGATATTCTGCACATTTATCGCTATTTGAAACTTAATGGCGGCAACTGAGAATAAAAAAATTAGAAATACCTGCACAAGTAACCGAAACAAGCTCCTGGATAGTGCAAAAGGTTTTTTAATAGTAATTTGATGCAAAAAGTTAATCTGATGCTGATTCAACGTGCCAATAGAACAGCTTATTCAACTGTTTTAATATTCACGCGGATCTAAAAATTTTCGATCATGTAAAATCCATCTAAATTGTTCAGATAAAGTTCGAACTACAGATTTTGCTGTCAATAAGGATGTCCCATATTCACATATTAACAGGGGCTTACAATTATATGCACAATAGTAGCTACCTCCGCACTGTTACCTCTGTTTTTTTTCTATATGTCTATATAACCTGGATCAAGTAGAGACTGTCAGATCAAACATTTTTTATTCAATACAAAATAACAGAATTATTCTAATTTAAATCCGCGTTTTGCTTTTCGTTTAGCAAAAACTTCCACCACAGAATCCAAATTGAGTGTACTAGCTACTGATCTTTTGATATAGATGATAGAGAAGTTGTTCAGTGTGTCTTCAGCCAAATAAGCTCGACGGTATTCTTTAATAATTTTCAAAGAACTGATGACACGTTCAACACTGGCTGAACCGATAGGCAAAGTCAAAAATAATCTGAATTAACTGCAGCTCTCTGGAGTACTGTCTATAAAATTGTTTGCAATCATGAACTTCAAATAATCTAGCGGGCTGTCGTTAGTAAAATTACGATTATCTGAAAAATACATGCTCGTAAAACTTGCTAATTCATATTTTAGATCTGTAGTGAAAAATCCCGAATATTTTTGGTTCCTAATTCGTTTTCTTTTAGATTGACTAATTTCTCTGGCAACAAAAAACCAAACACATCATTCACTTGACGAAATCCTTCAGCACGTTCTTGCAATTTGTTACTCATTGAATCCAAAACTGGGTAGTAATTTATTCGATGTCTTTCGTGTGTTTCCAGTGGCGAGTCAGCAGCTTTTTCGTCGAACAACATTTTTTTGATTTCCCTCTTTCTGATAATGGGAAAACCAGGATTTTCCCATTCCATCTCTTCCCATTTATTCTTATCCTTCAGAACAAAATTATCGTATGTGCTTTCGCTCCTCAGATCTTTTAATTTTCTTAATGTTGCTGAAATGCACCTTTGAGCCATCATCAAGTCTATTCCTTTCTTTTGAATTTGAACTTGCACAGTATTCATTACCCTCAATACTGAATGCCGCCATAAAAAATTGAGGAAGAAGGTCCAGTTCATAGAGGAAAGGAGAGATTTTGCATTCATTATATCTTCGCCAGAAGCACCCACTCTACATCTTCTATGCAATTGATAATACATTCAATAAATTTCTTCCACGATAGTATCATGAAGAAAATAGATATGTCATCAAATAGAAAAAATGCACAGTATTGTGAAAGTTTATGGTTATGAGCATTGAAGACGTGAAAATACTGTAATAGACGCATTATAGTCTTTATTAGACTAAAAGAGGCTGGTTCATACCACGAAGATATTTAGTTACTGACCGTTTTATGCCAGTTAATAATATAACACTGTAAGCACAGAATGAAAGCCCTCCACTTCTTGAGAAATAAAAGGGTCATTCGGTCGTTTTTTTTGAAAATTCCTTAAGAAATGAAAGGGAAGTTTTCTTATTCAAACTGAATGCTAACACGCTGTTTCATAAACATTACGCAGATGGTCATTAAAAGAATATAACAACACTCTGATTTCTTGTTATTAATTTGTGACCACCCTTCCTTCGGGGGGCCCAAGCGGCAATATCCATTTCTCCGTTACTTAAATCCGCCACTGTGATGGACATAACCACAAAAAAAATCATTATTTATCTTAATTTGTTCAGATAGGAAAGAAAAACACACGAAAACATCACTTTTCATTTAAATAGTGTTCAAAAATCTTGCCTGTTATTGGCCAAACAATGATATAGGCGATGTTTAAATTCCTGACGGACATTTTCAATAACATGAGGATATTATGGCAGCTTTCGATGATCCGTTGACGAAGTTCATCCAAACTTTCAGGTTGGGGAGTAAACACAATAGATTTGAAATGGCTTTATAGCAAAAAGTCTAATGGCGTCGCATCAGGACATCTAGCAGGTCATTTTATAGGCCCTCTTCGTCGTTTCAATTTATCTGGAAACTCGTCGTCTAACCATTGCCGAGCCGGAAGAACATAGTGAGGAGGAGCGCCGTCTTGCTGTAAATATATTTCAGCCTCATCAAGTATAGGGTTTCCTATACGTACTCCTATACTGTTAAACTATTAATATATGAAAAATAAACATGACTATTGATCCGCTAATATTTCTTTTCCAATTCCACTGATGATGCTTAATATTCTTTTTATTGCCTTTAATGCGTTTTTCCTGCCCTTTCCGTACTTGAATATTCGTAGCTTCTAATGAGCTCTCTCTCGTTTTGTTCGTTCAAGAGCTCTACATTTTTTTTCTCTCGTTAAAAGTACTTCGTCGCCGTTAAACAGTTCGAATACAGTGTGCATCAAATATTTCTAGAGTAGAAATTGCATCCAAAAATATTGTCGGACTTAAATATCGGGTGTTGATGTTATAATTCCAAAATTTACATCTATGAAACACATGAAGGTATCGGATCAAAACATTTCTTGAGATCTTTTTGATACTTCAACCTATTTGGAGAAAATTAGACTTTAATATTTGACGTCCAGTGCTTAAACTCTTTCAAATTAATCCAGTCTACTTGAAAAACATGCTGACGTGACAAAAGTAGAAATTTATGCACCCTGTGCCTAAGCGAGGTTTGCTTTAGGTCATGTTATAACAATAATTTCTCATTGTTCTAGATAATAATGAATTTCCAATGTTTTATAAAGTCGAGGAAGATGGAAAATATTATTTTTTTTTTCATTAATTAGCCAAAAATGCTCAATCTCTAAATGTGGCACCGGCATAAAAATCAAACAACTGTCAGTGATGTCTTTGGTTATGACGAATAGTGACGTAATGGTAATTTTGGGTCCGTTTTTGTTGGAAAATTTATACTGCCAGCTTTAAACACCATTATTTTCAAATAATTTTTTCATATACTACATATAGCCTATCAAGCACGGAATCCTGTGAATTCAAATCGAAAGCGAAAATACAGCGTCCCTGTTCAATACTAACATATACTTTTAACATTTCTAACAAAGAAATAGGATGGAAAAATGTCCATATTTATCTACATTGAGTCTTTGCCAGTAAAGCTACTACCATACTTAGATCTACGAGCCCCTTCCCACTTCAGTTGGCCCACTTCAAGATTTGTACAAAAATATGCCTTTATAAACTAAACATGACGAAACTATTTACTTCTAAAACAATTTATTTTCTCAAAAGCATTTTAGATACACTCTAGTCGTAAAAAATACATATTTGAAATCAATTAGACCTATAACTAATAGAACATCTGAA